AATTATTTGGGAAGGGTAGATTATAAGCACCCACAGATGCTTTCTTATTGTGTGTGTGTGTGTGTGTGTGTGTGTGTGTGTGTGTGTGTGTGTGTATGAGTGGGTTGGTGTTCCACTCTGTCCTATAGGGTGGCTATGAGTAAACCTGACTTGACAACAACCAGTAATGACATGTCCAGGAGTATGTCTAACACCGTCCCTCCCACCACCTTTTCTCTGTTCTCACTACATGCATAGACAATGTTAAATGCTTTTACGTGGATTTCTCAATAACCAAATGTTAGGTATTATTAGTATTATCCCCTTTCTACATATGAGGAAGCTAAGGCATGTGGAGGATACGAATAAGGATCACAAATCTAGTCACACCTGGGCAATCGGCCTTCAGAGCTTATTCTCTGAAGCACACATCCTATCTTGCTTCCTTTCCTTGGCAATGGAACATTTCAATGAAGATGAGATGTTTTTCCCATATAAACTGTTACAGTTGCTCTCATTAGCAATCAACTCATGACATTCTACTTTCTCTTCTATTTGATATGATTTCCCCCAGCACAGCTTTTTAAATTGGTCATCATTTTCCACTGCAAACAATGGTAAAGCCTCTGTAGGAAATAGCTACAGTCACATGTTCTCACAGAGGCGTCTGCTTCCTTCCTTGCTGCTCCTGTAATCACTCACTTTTGGAAAAGGGTGATAGTTCTTAGAAGAGTTTAGTCTTTTTCTTTCTGAATAATCTCCTCTCATTCTTCTGAAAGCCAACATCAACCCTTATTTATTTACATTTTGGTTGTAGGCAGATTCAAACGTTTTCTTCAATCATAACAACAAAGTACCAACTATAAAATACACATACCATCAAAACAAATGCCTAGTTCTCATTAGATCGTTTTTTGTACTTGAGAACCCATCTCATTACTGACAAGACACTGAAATTCACTTGCTTTTCTCCTTTTACAATATTAAAAATAGAGAAATCCAAACAGATCTAGCTGGGAATTTGTGCTGTTTTAGCTTTCCCTGTTGAGGTACCCGAGACCTATGAACATACAGATTTGGCTAAATGAAAGTAAGGAATAGAGTTCTACTCTGGGATGTGGGGAACTGCTTTGAATCAATAACTGACAATGAATAAAAAGAGATGGCAAAAGATCACCTAGGATGAGTAGATACTATAAGATACAATAATAATTTATAAATTATCAAGGGTGCATGGGGGAGAGGGGAGCCGGAAGGGAGGGGGAGGGGAAAAAAGGGAAAATGAGCTGATTCCGGGAACCCAAGA